CGGAGTTGTTTACAAAACTCAATAAAGAATGGATGTTCAACAATGGAAAAAGGAATAGAACATGTAACAATAAATTTACCCAAAGCTTTATTAATATCATTATATCTTTGATCAGAAAGGTTGGTGCTTTCCATGAATTCATTAAGTTGAGTTTGTTTGTTTTTTTTCTGTCTTTCTGAGGATGCTTTTTCAACTGATCGATTTGTAACTATTGTAAGATATTCTTCATGGACATTAGCTAAACATTTTTGACATTCTGTAGCTAAATGGTCTTCTAAAGTATCTGGTTGTCCTGCATCCAAAATTCATCACAAAAATTACATGTAGCTGAATAGTGCCCTCTAGAGCCTGTCTCAGTTTTATTAAAATGACTCCATACTGTCATTTCAGGTCTACCAGTATTTTTTTTCTTGGAAGTCTCGCTCATTATTCTAAAGTTAAAAATCAAAGATTATCATTATTCAATCAATTATATAATCTAGATTCTAGATTTAGCCAATCAAAAATTATTATAACAAATAAAACTCACGAAATAAAATATCATTATATAAAATAATTTTTTTTAAAGAAACGATTTTGAGAAGATAAAACAATAATAATAACATATCTTTATACATTTGCAATGTCAATTTCAAAAAGAGAAAGTAAGTATTATACCTAAAGAACCCACAAGCCCAATTCTATGGAGAGAAAGTACTACACATGTCCACCATGATTTTAAGAACCCAATTTCAAGAAGAGAAGATAAGTATTATTTATTATATTAAAAAAAAAATAATAATAATAAATAATAATAAATGTACCTTTATATATTCGTGATGCTGATTTTGAGGAAAAAAAGTAAGTATATACCTAAAGAATTATGCCTACTCGCCTGTTCACCATGAATTCAGGGTCCCAATTTCAAGAAGAGATAAGTATTATTTATTATATATTAAAAATAATAATAATAATAAAAAAAAAAACATACGTACATTTGTCACAACTCCAAGAAGATATATTCCTATTTTTATAGAAGAGAAGGTAAGTATTATTTATTATCTAAAATAAAATAAAAAAATAAAATAAAAAAACTTACATTCGCCGTGAATCTGAGAAGGTATATTCCTATTTTTATAGAAGAGAAGGTAAATATTAGTTATTATATATATAAATAATAATAAAAAAAGAAAAACGTACCGTTTCTATAATTTTTATTAATCATTTTAATTTTTTTTTTTAAAAAAAATAGGAACGAGTTAAATAATAATAGAGAAACAGGAACGAATTAAATTTTGATTTAATAATTACATCATCATAATAATAATAATTAATAATAATAATTAATAGTTAATAGTAATAATAATAACAATATAATAATAATAATGGAGAAATCGGGCCACCCGCAGTATCTGGAAGAAGATTGTTTTTGTTTTTTTTTAAAAAAAATCAGAACGAATCAAATTTCGATTTAATAATTAATAAAATAATTATTAATAAATAGGGAAATTACCTGCAGTATCTGGATCTGGAATATAATAATAATAGGAAAAAGAAAAACGTACCTTTCTTTTTTTTTTAATTTTTAATTTTTAAAAAAAATCAGAACGACGATTTAATAATTATATCATCATCATAATAATTAATAATAAGGAAGAAGAATAATAATAATAGAGAAATCAGGTACCCGGAATAATAATAATAATTAATAATAATAATATAATAATAACAATATAATAATAATATAATAATAGGAAAATCGGAAACTCGCGGTATTTGGAAGAAGAAGAATAATAGGGAAATCAGGTATTTGAAATAATAATAATAATAATTAATAATAATAATATAATAATAACAATATAATAATAATAATAATAGAAAAATCGGGCCACCTGCAGTATCTGGAAGAAGAAGAATAATAGGGAAATCGGGTATTCGAAATAATAATAATAATAATTAATAATAATAATATAATGATAACAATATAATAATAATAATAATAGAGAAATCGGGCCACACGCAGTATCTAGATCTGGAATAATAATAATAATAAAAGAAAAAAGAAAAACGTACCTTTCTTTTTTTTTTAATTTTTAATTTTTAAAAAAAATCGAAACAAATTAAATTTCAATTTAATAATTACATCATTATTATAATAATTAATAATAAGGAAGAAGAAAAATAATAATAGAGAAATCGGGTATCCGGAATAATAATAATAATAATAATATAATAATAGGGAAATCGGACCACTCACAGTATTCGGAAGAAGAAGAAGAATAATAGGAAAATTGGGTATCCGGAATAATAATAATAATAATTAATAATAATAATATTGTTAAGCGCAATCTGTCGATGTAATTAGAAGGTATAGTTTATTTATTAAGACTTTAGGAATTTCTACTCAAGTTTATAGGTTTGTAATTTCAAGAGATTCTCAATTTATTTAATAATTTCGATACGTGAGTTCTTTGTTAGCAATGTGGAGGTTTATCGCACCAAGTTAGTTTGTGACTTAGCTCAGTGCAAAGAATAGTATAACATCAAATAATAAC